CTCTTGAGGTCAATCCTAGAACACTGCTGATATGTGTCTTCCTTATCTGAACTATTGTAGGCTCACAGACTTACCACAATGCTATACTGAAAAAAAAAAAAAACAGGAGTTAATTTACTCTACAGTAGCCAAACTATTTTAAAATACGCATCAAATAATACTGCATATATGACCTTAACTGAACCTATTTTTCTTTTTTCCTTTCTTTTCTTTTCTTTTCTTTTCTTTTTTAGAGACAGGGATTCTCTATGTAGCCCTGGCTGTCCTGGAACTCACTCTGTAAACCAGGCTGACCTCAAACTCAGAGATCCAACTGCCTCCTCCTCAGCACTGGGATTAAAGTGTGCATCACTACCGCCTGGCTGAACCTATTTTTCAAAGCAGTCAATCTCTAGCTTTAAAAGAAAACGAGATGTCATATTTTGCCATAAACTTGCCTTTTTGACTAATAAGCAAGGCTCCACACAATCTATAGATCAAAAGTAAACCATTAATTAAATTTAACAGGTACAAGACCTTACCTTTCGTTTCTTCCCCCACCAAAGCAAATATGTATAAAGCACATTCAAACCTATAGCCCTACTGACAGCTCATGATCAAAAAATCAGATGAGCATTGGGAATTCTCACAAGTATTCTCACAAAATATTCACAAGTATTTTTTAAAGTCAAGCATAACTGCCGTATAAATAAGCATCTGATATCTCCACTGACTCTACCAAGCACTTGATGGCTTGTGCTAACCATGAGAATCTACACAAGGTTTTGCATGTGACTCTGGACACAGAACTCATTGAGATATGTTAATGTCCGAAAACATCCTTTTCACCACATAAGCTCTGGACAGACTTAAAAACAAGCACAGCCTGTGGGGTAATGTTGCAGAATTCAGAGCTAGGTTTTTATTGTCTCTACCAAGTTTGACACAAACAAATCAACTTTATACTAATTATGTTAAACCTGCAAGTTGCAGTCCAGCTCCATGTCAAATAGTTGGGCAATTTTTCATCCTAAATCTGAATAAACAAAGAAATACATCAAACCTCTAAGTGTGGTCATATGTTACAATGATCTCCACTCTGACAAGCTCCGAATCCCACTACTCACTGAGTTCCTGATGTGCACATAGGCCAGGAACTGTGCTGGGAATTTGCATACTAATCCTCACAAAAATCTCACTGTACTGACGAGGAAACTGAGGCACAAAGAATCAAGGTGATCAGTCCAATGCCATAAGCCAGCAAACAGTGGAACTGGAAGGTCAGCCTCGCCTGCCAGGTTCCAAGGAACTCTTCCTTTAGCTAAAATCACCACAGTCCCAGGTCACCCCATCAAAGTCAACACACAGGCGTCCAGTCCCAAACACAGGAGCTAAGAGAAACACCTAAAACAGTGGCACACAACCCAGGAATTACCAAGGACACGCAGTCACCTCCTCCAGAAGAACTAGTTTCAAAGACTGTTCAAACTCCAAGACAATCCACTCCCCCCACCCCCTTTCTGGCTATCTTTCAACTGACTTTTTAGAACAAGGGAAAAAGAACTCAAGCATATAATCTCAATTTTGGTAAAATCATGAAAAACCTATGAGAAAAGAGACAAAGGTAAATATAGTTTGCATTATACTTTAGTTCTTCAATAAGCTTCAGACATGTAAAACCAAAGTCACATCCTACTAATCTATACACACACACACACACACACACACACACACACACACACACGTAGTATGTATAATACAGACTTGAAAAGTATTTTCTTACCACACTACAAGCTTACTCCCCAAACTTAGTGCACAAATGGGAACGCTCTGGGTGTCTGGAAGCAGATCTTGAGGCACCAGTTGCAGAGAGGAGCTGCTGGTCTGAAACCTCCTAGGGAAGGCTGTCTGAAGAGAAGTGCTGAAGAAACCGAAGCTGCTGGTCCTAATGAGGGTGAGCTGTTGGCATCACTACTCCTCTGTCTGTCTCACTGCTGTGCTGAGCAATTGTTTCCCTGTGTCCATGACCTGAACCTGGCAAGCAGAGAGGATGCTGTCCTCACAGCCCTAAATGTTACCTGACCAGCTGCTCCCTGGTGTGTGGGTGACTTAGGAAAGTGACTGGTTAGAATAAGTGCTGCAAAACTAAACTGCTCCCTGAGATTCCAGTGGTCCTCCCCTAACATTACATTCACTGATGGGGGGGGGGGGGATTAACATATTTGAAACTTTGAAGTCCTTTGAGTTTAGGATAGGCAAATAATTCAGATGATAAAAACTACAGGCGTGCCACCAACAAAAAAAATTATAACCTGTAATATAAGTCACTTCAGTCATGTTAGGTAATAAAAATGCAACATATGCAGCCTCAGCATACTTTCAAACATCACAGAGTACACTGAATAATTATTAGAATAAATGCTATCCTCCAGGTGTGTGGAACAGGTTCTGTGCAAGATTTCAAGCCTCTCTTGCCTTTCAAAATGCTAGTTAATACCAGGAATTCCTTAAGCTCTCAGAACCCTAATTATTATTTTTTTTTTAAGTGAAAACTGTATGCTCCTAGAGACCTGGAAATGTGGTTATTATCACTGCCTATCGCCCACTATTGTAAGCTGGAACATATGTCTCTTGGTTGAATTACGATCCAAAGACAAAAGCGGAATGCAGAGTAATTTAAACACACACACAAACTGACATTTACCAACTGCTTATTGACAGAATAGTGCAAAGTTCATCCTCAGCGTTAGATTCCGAATGTGGAGAGCAAATTTTCCAACTATAACCAAAATTTTCCCATTAAAATGGATGGTTTTGATGGCACCATGAAATCAAACTTAGCAAAGCTGGGGAAAAAAATCCTCAACCCTGAGCAGGTGCTCTACCATGGAGCAACAAAGAGATCAGCCTCAGTCTTTCAGTACCATATAGTCCCATATGGCCACTACAGCACATACTACACACTTGACTACATTTGCTACATTCAGACTATGCCATGAAGATAAAGGATCAATTGGTCAACTCTACATTATTTTGTCTCTAGTTTTAACTTCTGAATGATTCTTACCCATCTTGCTCTTCACAGGAAGACAGAGGAAAATATCTTGTAATTCCTAACTGCCCTTATTTACCCAAAGAACAAATCACAATAATAAACCACCTGGAGAGATGGCTCAGTAGTTAAGAGCACTTGTTGCTCTTACAGAGGACCCAGGTTCTATTCCCAGCACGTACATGGTGACTCACAACCATGCCTAACTCTAGTTCCAGGGCTTCCACCCCCCTCTTTCACCAGGCACACATGTGGCACACATACATGCAAGTAAAGTATGCATACAAATAAAATTTAAAAACTGACAATGATACATATGAAAGCTCCTTTGTTCTTTAGTCCAGAGCCAAAGTAAGTCTAATGCTCAACAGAAACAAAACACAAACTCAAACTGCTTTCACTTTTGCATAACGCGGATCTTAACTTGAGGCTCCAGGACCAGCTTCAAGATGACTGTTTAGCTGCATACAAAACCCTGTTACATATTGTTTCACTGCAGAGAGGGCCCTGAAGACTTCCACCGCCCCAGTAAAGAGTTTAGGATCACAAAACTTAGCGGTGAATCTTTTATACTAACGACAGTATCTGTGTGAACACATGTGCGCAGTGGCGATACAAATAAGCAAGCCGTTGACACAAGGCGACGTACCCACCACAGACCAGCCCCCCTGGGGAACATCAACTGCCTCAGCCCACAGCACACGTTCCTTTCCTAAGCCAACATACATGCTGTCAACAAAGCATGTGCTCTTTGCCTGTCTCAGAACAATACGGATCCGACTGTCCTCTGGAAAAAAGAGTATATAGACCTTCATCCCAAAAGATCACACTACTTACACAGGCTATGCCTTGTTACGTTAAACGTTGCAACAACAAAAAAACGACGAAATTACTGTGTGCGGTAATATCTAATTAACTGGGGGGGGGGGAGGCGGGAGAGCACCGTTCAGGTGATACTGAGAGTGTGCTGGCAAGGCATATAAGGGAAACACCACGACGATGCTTAAACATGGGTAAGATCCAGGGGCAACCAAAGAGTGGTTGACAGAGGAACATCCTGTGGCTTGGTTGTGGAAAACATCTGCCTCCAAAGGCACATTCCTTTGATGGGCATAAGCCATTTCTGACAATGGATCCGCGATGACAGGGGCCATTCTGTAATCAGGAAGTGCGCGAGTGTGCGTGTGCATATGTGTGTGCTCGCGCGTGTTCGTGATATTGTTGTTGGGGGAGGAATGAGCTAGATGTAATCAAAGACTGGCCCGCTTCAAAGAGGAGCATATGGGATCTTAAATCCCCAAGACTGACATCAGGGCGAGGCAGGGACATCTAATCATTTCTCCCGGAGACATCCCTCGACAATGATCATGTTTCGTAGAGATGTAACAGGGTGTCACTCTCTTCGGTGTCTCCGACCTGAGACTCTTCAGCAGAGCCTGATTGGAGGGGAGGACGAAGTGGGGGTGGAGAAAGGTCTGCATCGCCCACTGGGTTGAGTGTGGTGCTGCCGGTGGCGAGTGCACATACATCACATGCGTGTTATCTTCTAGTGCCACAATACTCCAGAGGGCTGGAGGTTTGGGCGCAACCGCAGGGCGGGGGAGGTAGTGGGTGCAAGACACCAGCTGCAGAGCAGGAGAACGCTCCCCTCCGCCCGCTAACCCGTGCACCCCGGCCACCCCGTCAGGCCTCGAGGCGAGCCCGCTCGCTGCAAAACTGCAGCCAAGCGAGGGTCCCGAAGGGAGGGGGCGGGGGGTAAGGAGCCGGCACCCCCGGCCAAGCCGGGAGCCGCTGACGCGCAGCGCCCGGGGCCTGCCCGCCGGATGGGGGCTGCTCCGGCCTAGCGCACGCAGCTGCCTCAGCGCAGGCTCCGCCAGCCCCGCCAGCACGGCCAGGCGCAGAGGAAACGCGACTGCCACGGCGCCGCCGCGGCGGGGGGCGAGAGCGCGGGGAAGGGGCCCCTACTCACCCGGGCCGCCGCCGCCGCCGCCGCCGCCGCCTCCTCGGCGGCCCATCCCTGCGGCGGGGGCCTGTCGCCGCGCCGCGTCGCTCCAGTCCCCACCGCCCGCCGGGCCGGCCCCTCCCCCTGCCCAACGTCTGCGCTCTGGGCCGCTCCTCAGACCCGGCCTCGGCCGCCGCCGCCGCAGCGCTACGTGGCCGCCGCTCCGACGTCTCGCGACTCCCTTCCGAGCGCGCGAGGCCGAGCGGGGCCGCGGGGCGGGCGGCGGGGGAGGGGGGTGCGCTGGAGGGATGTGTGCGCGAGGGGGCAGGGAGGCCGGCGGGAGCGCGCCCGCGCGCGCGTACCCGCGCCCCCGC